CCTTGCTATTCCTGGGAACTCTGCATTCAAATGGATGTATCTTTCCTTTTCTCCTTTGACTTTTGCTTCTCTTCTTTTCATAGCTATTTGTAAGGTCTCCTCAGTCAATCATTTTGCCTTTTTGCATTTCTTTTTCTTGAGGATGGTCTTAATCATTGCCTCCTGTACAATGTCATGAACCTCCATCCATAGTTCTTCAGGCACTCTGTCTATCAGATCTAATCCCTTGAATCTATTTCTTATTTTCACAGTATAATGGTAAGGGATTTGATTTAGGTCATACCTGAACGGTCTAGTGGTTTTCCCTACTTTCTTCAATTTAAGTCCGAATTTGGCAATAAGGATGTCCTCTAGCAACGGTGATATTGTGTACCTCTTTTGCGCCACTATGCATTTTTTTATCGCTAGCATTTGCCAACTAAACAGATATAAACATTTTTTTTCTCATTTCTCTATGGTAAGTTTTTTTTGTTTTTTGTTCTCTCAGAATATTATTCATGCTGCCCAAAGTTACATGAAATAACAGTTGATTCTATGTTATGAAACAGGAATAATTGCAACAAATCATTAATTCTTGTTCCTTAATTGTTTAAAAAAGTAATAGCCCAATCAACATTATCTAAATCTTTGACATAACATGGCATTAAGAGTCTTCTTCAGATAGAAGAACACAAAAGAAAGCATAGTCTATCTGTCACTGAAGCTGAGTAAATGAAGTATAAAACATACATTAACAATATAAGAAGTATACTGCCTTCACAGTTTATATGTGTTTGAGAAACTGAGGGAAGGAATGTACATACTGCCATAATTAGCATGACACACAGAGAAAAAGAAGCTATAAAATGTTGGAGGCCTCTGCCTGCCAGCCTCTGCCATTACAGGCACTCCCTACACATCCCAGTGGTGACTGCCATATCTCCCTCTCCCTGGCCTGAAGGAACACGTGAGTCCTAATCAGACTGCTGCTTTCACCACGTCTTGTCTGGGTGGGGAACAGACTCCAGAGGGCCCTGTATAAGCAGAGGTAGGGCCTGAACTAAAGCTGAGCTCCAGGAGCTGTGTGACCAAAGAAAAAGAAGGAAATTCTGTGGTGCAGCTGCAGGCCAGGACAAGGGCATGTGCTCAGTCATGTCTGACTCTTTGTGACCCTGTGGACTGTAGCCCATCAAGCTTTTCTGTCCATAGGATTTTCCAGATAAGTATACAGAAATCAGTTGCCATTTCCTCCTTTAGGGAATCTTCCCAAAGCAGGGATCGAAATTGTGTCTCCTGTGTTACAAGGAGATTATTTACCCCTTGAGTCATTGGGGAAGCTCATAAAATGTTGTCCTTCAGTCTCTAAGTTGCGTCTGACTTGAGTTACACATAACAATTCCCAAGGAAAAGTGTAGACATAAAAAGTTGGAAACGTTTCTAGGAAGGAAAGTTTACACATTTTTACCTCTTCTTGATTTTTAAAATTCTAAGTAATATATTACTTTTCTTGCTTTAAACACTTAAGTCTAAAGATGGTAAGCTACAAATCAAAACCTGGTTTTTGCTTATACCCTCTTTGAAGTGAGACTTCCCCAGTTGTTCTTATGGTAAAAGCATCTGTCTACAATGCGGGAGTCCCGGGTTCGATCCTCGGTCAGGAAGATCCCTTGAAGAAGGAAATGGCGACCCACTCCAGTACTCTTGCCTGGAAAATCCCATGGAGGGAGGAGCCTGGTAGGCTACAGTCCATGGGGTCGCAAAGAGTCCGACATGACTGAGCAACTTCACTTTCACCTTCTTTCTTTTTTTTTTTATTTATTTATTTTTTAATTATATATATATATATATATATATTTTTCATTTATTTTTATTAGTTGGAGGCTAATTACTTTACATCATTGCAGTGGTTTTTGTCATACATTGAAATGAATTAGCCATGGATTTACATGTATTCCCCATCCCGGTCCCCTCTCCCACCTCCCTCTCCACCCAATCCCTCTGGGTCTTCCCAGTGCACCAGGCCCGAGCACTTGTCTCATGCACCCAACCTGGGCTGGTGATCTGTTTCACCCTAGATAATATACTTGTTTCGATGCTGTTCTCTTGAAACATCCCACCCTCGCCTTCTCCCAGAGTCCACAAGTCTGTTCTATGCATCGGAGTCTCTTTTTCTGTTTTGCATATAGGGTTATCGTTACCATCTTTCTAAATTCCATATATATGTGTTAGTATACAGTAATGGTCTTTATCTTTCTGGCTTACTTCACTCTGTATAATGGGCTCCAGTTTCATCCATCTCATTAGAACTGATTCAAATGAATTCTTTTTAATGGCTGAGTAATATTCCATGGTGTATATGTATCACAGCTTCCTCATCCATTCGTCTGCTGATGGGCATCTAGGTTGCTTCCATGTCCTGGCTATTATAAACAGTGCTGCAATGAACATTGGGGTGCACGTGTCTCTTTCAGATCTGGTTTCCTCGGTGTGTATGCCCAGAAGTGGGATTGCTGGGTCATATGGCAGTTCTATTTCCAGCTTTTTAAGAAATCTCCACACTGTTTTCCATAGTGGCTGTACTAATTTGCATTCCCACCAACAGTGTAAGAGGGTTCCCTTTTCTCCACACCCTCTCCAGCATTTACTGCTTGTAGACTTTTGGATAGCAGCCATCCTGACTGGTGTGTAATGGTACCTCATTGTGGTTTTGATTTGCATTTCTCTGAAATGAGTGATGTTGAGCATCTTTTCATGTGTTTGTTAGCCATCTGTATGTCTTCCTTGGAGAAATGTCTGTTCAGTTCTTTGGCCCATTTTTTAATTGGGTCATTTATTTTTCTGGAATTGAGCTGGAGGAGTTGCTTGTATATTTTTGAGATTAATCCTTTGTCTGTTGCTTCGTTTGCTATTATTTTCTCCCAACCTGAGGGCTGTCTTTTCACCTTGCTTATAGTTTCCTTTGTTGTGCAAAAGCTTTGAAGTTTCATTAGGTCCCATTTGTTTATTTTTGCTTTTATTTCTAAAATTCTGGGATGTGGGTCATAGAGGATCCTGCTGTGATTTATGTCGGAGAGTGTTTTGCCTATGTTCTCCTCTAGGAGTTTTATAGTTTCTGGCCTTACATTTAGATTTTTAATCCATTTTGAGTTTATTTTTGTGTATGGTGTTAGAAAGTGTTCTAGTTTCATTCTTTTACAGGTGGTTGACCAGTTTTCCCAGCACCACTTGTTAAAGAGGTTGTCTTTTTTCCATTGTATATCCTTGCCTCCTTTGTCAAAGATAAGGTGACCATAGGTTCATGGATTTATCTCTGGGCTTTCTATTCTGTTCCACTGATCTATATTTCTGTCTTTGTGCCAGTACCATACTGTCTTGATGACTGTGGCTTTGTAGTATAGTCTGAAGTCAGGCAGATTGATTCCTCCAGTTCCATTCTTCTTTCTCAGGATTACTTTGGCTATTCGAGGTTTTTTTTATTTCCATACAAATTGTGAAATTATTCGTTCTAGTTCTGTGAAAAATACCGTTGGTAGTTTGATAGGGATTGCATTGAATCTGTAGATTGCTTTGGGTAGTATAGCCATTTTGACAATCATACATCATGACCAAGTGGGCTTTATCCCAGGAATGCAAGGATTCTTTAATATCCGCAAATCAATCAATGTAATACACCACATTAACAAATTGAAAGATAAAAACCATATGATTATCTCAATAGAAGCAGAAAAAGCCTTTGACAAAATTCAACATCCATTTATGATTAAAACTCTCCAGAAAGCAGGAATAGAAGGAACATACCTCAACATAATAAAAGCTATATATGACAAGCCCACAGCAAGCATCACCCTCAATGGTGAAAAATTGAAAGCATTTCCCCTGAAATCAGGAACAAGACAAGGGTGCCCACTCTCACCACTACTATTCAACATAGTTTTGGAAGTTTTGGCCACAGCAATCAGGGCAGAAAAAGAAGTAAAAGGAATCCAGATAGGAAAAGAAGAAGTGAAACTCTCGCTGTTTGCAGATGACATGATCCTCTACATAGAAAATCCTAAAGACTCTACCAGAAAATTACTAGAGCTAATCAACCAATACAGTAAAGTTGCAGGATATAAAATTAACACACAGAAATCTCTTTCATTCCTATACACTAACAATGAGAAAACAGAAAGAGAAATTAAGGAAACCATACCATTCACCATTGTAACAAAAAGAATAAAATACTTAGGCGTATATCTACCTAAAGAAACAAAAGACCTATACATAGAAAACTATAAAACACTGATGAAAGAAATCAAAGAGGACACAAACAGATGGAGAAATATACCGTGTTCATGGATTGGAAGAATCACCTTCTTTCAAGTGAGAGTTTTTCAGTTGCTAGGACTCTACTGCCATCTGCTGTGTAGCAAATTAAGTAAAGAAAAATAGTAACTATCTTCTCCAGTTTCAGTAAGCCAAATCTTTTTCAAAGGAGCAATGATTACACTGTTGTGTTGAATAAGGCAGGGTACACAGAGCAACACATTTACCAATTAGGAAACGAAATATTTAAACAACTAGAAGTTTGAAGTAGCCACACAGGCTCAAAAACAGGGCTAACAGAAGACCTAGAATGTCAATTACTTTGGTGAATATGTTGTAGCAACATGACAGACACTGGGAAAGCAGGGATTTGTGTGATTTGTTAAATTGTGAGTGATGAGCCTGGCTGGGAGTTATGCAGAAATGAATGCTTTAGTTACCTCGTTTATCTTTGCTGGCTATGAAACTAGATTTTAAACTTAAAGATCACTTGATAAGATGCTTACCAGAGAAAATTGGAAGTGAAACATTCAATTCAAATATTGAAATTGATTCAACAAAAATTTCAGTATTGAAAGAAAAACAATTCATTTAAGTAGACATTAATAAGTGTTCCTTTTTATGCTCCTGTTTTGTTTCATTTCATGTTTTATGCTTTTTTTTTTTTCTTTTTTGTCTTTGTTAGTCTTTCAAGAGACTTAAAGCAATACATTTACATGGAGAAATGGAATCAAACTTCCAATGATTTTATTTTGTTGGGGTTGTTCCTCCCAAATCAAACTGGTCGGCTTCTCCTACTTCTTATCATCCTCATATTCTTTCTAGCTTCATTGGGTAACTCAGCCATGATTTACCTCATATGTTTGGATCCCCGGCTCCACACACCTATGTACTTTCTCCTCAGCCAGCTCTCCCTCATGGATCTAATGTACCTCTCCACTACCGTCCCCAAGATGGTGTTCAACTTTCTCTCTGGCCAGAAAGGCATCTCCTACCTGGGATGTGGAGTTCAATCTTTCTTCTTCCTGACCATGGCGTGTTCTGAAGGCTTACTTCTGGCCTCAATGGCCTACGATCGTTATGTAGCTATCTGCCACCCCCTGCACTATTGTATCCGCATGAGCAAAAGGATGTGTATGAAGATGATTATGGGATCTTGGATCTTGGGGTCTATCAACTCCCTGGCACACACAGTCTATGCCCTCCATATTCCTTACTGCCAGTCCAGGGCTATTGATCACTTCTTCTGTGATGTCCCAGCTATGTTGCCTCTGGCCTGTATGGACACCTGGGTCTATGAGTACATGGTTTTTGTGAGCACAAGCCTCTTTCTCCTCCTTCCTTTCCTAGGCATCACTGCTTCCTATGGCCGAGTTCTTTTTGCTGTCTACCATATGCGTTCAAAAGATGGAAGGAAAAAGGCCTTCACCACCTGTTCAACACATTTAACTGTAGTGACATTTTACTATGCACCTTTTGTCTACACTTATCTTCGGCCCAGGAATCTCCGCTCACCAGCAGAAGATAAAATTTTGGCAGTCTTTTACACCATCCTCACCCCAATGCTCAATCCCATTATCTACAGTCTGAGGAATAAGGAAGTCCTGGGGGCCATGACAAGAGTTTTTGGGATATTCTCTTCTACAAAGTAATAATTATGGCTCCCCTAACCCTCCTTTATTTCCTCTTTCTATGGTGATTAGAATACCCTAGAACACTACCACCTGATAGAAATATATGAGCTATTCTGTAATTTAAAATTTTCACTTAAAGTATAGCTACTATGCCACATTTAAAAAGTGAAATTAATCTAAATAATGTATTTACTTAATCCCAAAGTTATAATCAATACTGAGATTAAGAACATTGATATTAATGGTACATTATTATAAAATATTATGCAATATATTTGTCATATATATGTACATATATCACATAATAATACACTCATACTGACATCATTTCTACATGCAATTGATACAAACTTATTGAAGCAATCTATTACTTTATTTTCATTCTAAGTCTTTACAGTCCTTATATTTATACTTATAGGCCATGCAATTTTTGACTAGACACATTTTAAGTGCCCATCAGCCATATAGGGCCAGTGGTTACTGTGTTGGAAAACACAGGCCTAGAACATGCAATCAAATATTTTCAAATGTTTTAAATGTAGTGTATAAAATTATATTTGTGATATATAAAATATGGATAGTGGGACATTCAGTAACAAACAAAGAAAGCTTACTAGTGTGTTTATGAGGTTTTTTTTTAAAAACCTGTTTCAATCCTTTATTTTGTTTGTAATTGACTTCTGGAGTCCATCATAATGTAATATCCTTTATGATACTATTTTGAGGGGGCTTATTTAGCTTAAAATTTTTCAGATTTCAATAATGTATAGAGATTAAGTGACCTTTGTATAATTGTGAGAATAATCAACAGTTTTATTCTACATTCAAATTAAGAAAAGTATGTACTTAAATGACCTTAAAGAAATTTGTATTTGACAAAGTCATTTACTTAATGGCAGGGAAACAAAGGACTGAGGAGCTACAGCATGCAACATATAAAATGAAAACAATGTCTCAGATTTCAGTTATAACATGTAAAATATGAATGTGATCTTACACACATTGAAATTCTATGCTAATATGTCATAATGTTGTGTTTAACAAAAGTTTTACTACTGGTGTTTTACTAAAACACTTAAGTTACTTCATGCCTCTCCATGACTGGGTTTATGTAGGACTTAGTTTTAATGATTATAGGGGGGAAAAAGGCTTAGAGGAGTCCCTCTCCAACAAATTCTCCATACACTGCCCAAGTTTAAGCTCCCAGGATTTTTTCCTGGTCTTTTTAAATTTCTTCTCAAGTGTTTCCATGACTCAAGTCCATTTCAATTATAAAATATATCCTATAATTTCCCAATCAAGTTAATTTCCTAAAATATATATATGAAAATGTCATTCCACAATATTTGATTTACTATTGTATTCACAAAACTTTCTAATCTCAAGTTCAAGCTCATGTGCTTTTAAAATGCATATCAAGTCTACCTTTTACCTGTGTCTAATATCGAGCCTGCAGACTTAGTGCCAGAATTCCTTTAGACCTCCAGTCTGCCCTTGTAGCCCTCTATTCCTCTGCACACCTGAAATTTAGCTTGGGTTATTTCCCACTTCTGGAAAGTTTTTCTTCACATTTTAAAAATGTTTATTTATTTTTTACTGTACTGGGTCTCCATTGCTGTGCAGGTGCTTTTCCTAGTTGCAGCAAGTGGGGGCTACTCTCTAATCTCATTGTGTTGGCTTCTTTTGTTACAGAGCACAGGCTCTAGAATGCAAGGGCTTCAGTAGTTGTTGTGCATGGGCTTAGTTGCTCTGCAGCATGTGGTGTCTTCCCAGACTAGGGATTGAACTGGTGTTCCCAGCATTGCAAGTCAGATTCTTAAACATTGGACCAGCAGAGAAGCCTTCAGATTTTTTTTTAAGACTGCCAATTTGAGTTGTACTTTTATTAATATATAACACAACATTTTCTTCTCATCTTCTTTTCCAGTTAATGTCTTCCTCTCCCACACTCCTATAGTGCTATGGAAGTACTTGTCAGTAGTAACTCCATTTTGTATATCAGGACTCTGTCTGTTAAAATATGGAACTGTACTAACCCTGATAAACTGGAAAATTAACATGTTACTTGCTGAGGAAGAGCCTTCTAAGAACTTTTGTTGAAAAAGATATTTCTGAGAACTGTGCAAAAATATGGTTTTCTTAATAATGAGTGAAATGTCTTTGTAAGCAAATAAATTGTAAAAGAAAAAATAATAACCTCCAGTTGTAGCTCTTGGGAAAAAACTTGTGAAACTTATTTTACTTCATTTTTCCTTAAAAAAAAAAAAAATCTTTGACTCCAGAACTGAAGCCTGTTTTGTTTACTGCTGAAATCTGTAATTCCCAATTTGTAATTCTAAGACCCCAAATAAGTGTGTTTGTTTTAGAGACTGTCTTTTTTTCTCTGATGGCAGTGTTTATTATACATATTTTACTGGACCTTATTCTTGTCTATGTCCATATTTGTCTCCTTTTAGGTTTAAGCTCATTGAATATAGTAATATTTAAGAAAATAATGCCAGTTAATATTTAGCAACTATAACTGCTTCTGCAACACTATGATTCTGTTATTTTCTCCACTGTGAGTGAGCACAGGGAGGTTTGGGGCAGCAATAAACCCTCCCTCAGGTCATAGAGCTAGGAAGAGTAAGTCTTAATTTAGAAAATAGCTTTCTTTGAATCAGAGCTTAAACCCTTAGCCTCTACATTACCCTGCATGAATAAGGGTCTTGTCATTTTGATATGGGTTTTGGTAATTTTTTTATTTACAAAAAGATACATATATTTGATCTTCATTTCCTCCATTCCTGGCACAGAGCCCCTAAAACACTTAGAGCTTCTTAAGGGACTAAAAATACAGTTGTCTTCTGTTGTGTAAATAAAGTTATGTAAAATAAAGCTTTATAGAGCTATGTAAATAATGTCCTTGCTAAATAAAGTTTGTTATGTAAATGAGGCAACTTTGAAAAAGGTCCTAAGTATCTGGTTGCAAGGGGAATAAAACTTATAATTAAAGGGTTGAAACTTTCAGTCTTACTCCCTAGAGCCCCAGAATGAGGAGGTGGACAAGGGTTGATTCACCAATGACCAATGATTTCATTAACCATACTGAGGAAATGATGAGCTTTCATGATGGCTCAGATGGTAAAAAATCTGCTTGCAATGCATGACACCTGAGTTTGACCCCTGGGTCTAGAATATCCTCTAGAGAAGAAAATGGCAACCTACTCCAATAATCTTGTCTGAAGAATTCCATGGAAAGAGGAGCCTGGTGGGCTACAGTCCATGGGGTTGTAAAGAGTCATGCATAACTGAGCAACTAATACACACACTGATGAAATAAATATTCACATTTTCAGGCAAGACAAGAGAAGTTAAACATAGATTTTTTTTCCTACACTTTGTAATTCTCTTGCACTCATCTCACATGTTAGCAAAGTAATGCTCAAAATACTCCAAGCCAGGCTTCAACAGTACATGAACCATGAGCTTCCAGATGTTCAAGCTGGATTTAGAAAAGGCAGAGGAACCAGAGATCAAATTGACAACATCTGTTGGAGCATAGAAATTCCACAAAAATATCTACTTCTGCTTTATTAACTACACCAAAGCCTTTGACTGTGTGACAACAAACTATGGAAAATTCTTAAAAAGATGGGAATACCAGACCACCTGACTTGCCTCCTGAGAAATCTGTATGCAGGTCAAGAAGCAACAGTTAGAACTGCACAAGGAACAGCAGACTGGTTCCAAGTCAGGAAAGGAGTACATCAAGACTATATATTGTCACCCTGTTTGTTTAACTTATATGCAGAGTACATCATGCAAAATGCCAGGCTGGATGAAGCACAAGCTGGAATCAAGACTGCTGGGAGAAATATCAATAACCTCAGATATGCAGATGATACCACCCTTATGGCAGAAAGCAAAGAAGAACTAAAGAGCCTCTTGATGAAAATGAAAGAGGAGAGTGAAAAAGTTGGCTTTTTAAAACTTAACATTCATAAAACTAAGATCATGGCATCCAGTCCCATCACTTTTGGCCAATAGATGGGGAAACTATGAAAATAGTGAGGGGCTTTATTTTGGGGGCTCCAAAATCACTGCAGGTGGTGACTGCAGCCATGAAATTAAAAGATGCTTGCTCCTTGGAAGAAAAGTTATAACCAACCTAGACAGCATATTGAAAAGCAGAGACATTACTTTGTCAGTAAAGGTCCATCTAGTCAAAGCTATGGTTTTTCCAGTAGTCATGTATGGATATGAGAGTTGGACTATAAAGAAAGCTGAGCACTCAAGAATTGATGCTTTTGAACCATGATGTTGGAGAAGACTCTTGAGAGTTCCTTGGACAGCAAGGTGGTCCAACCAGTCCATCCTCAAGGAAATCAGTCCTGAATATTCATTGGAAGGACTGATGCTGAAGCTCCAATATTTTGGCCACCTGATGTGAAAACCTGACTCATTGAAAAAGTACCTGATGCTGGGAAAGACTGAAGGTGGGAGGAGAAGGAGAAGATTGAGAATGAGATGGTTGGATGGCATCACTGACTTGATGGACATAAGTTTGAGTAAACCCCAGGAGTTGATCATGGACAGGAAAGCCTGTGTACTTCCACTGGGGTCAAAAGTTGTTGGACATGACTGAGCGACTGAACTTAACCCATACTGTGCATTGTGCATCTGCATCATGAGTTAATCAGATCTTTCTAATGGCAGAAAAACCTGCTTAACCATAAAGATAAAATTTTCTCATTCTGGTGCCAGTCATGAAATTTCTTAAATAATAACATTCTTTTCTATATCCTGTAAGGGTCTTGATCTTCACTCACCTTGTGTATGCAGGAATCTTTGTTGAACATGTACGTATAATGCCAGTATAGAATTTCACTTAAAGACAGTGATTGATGCAGAACAGACTAGTCAGACAACCTGGAGAGACGCTGAATCACATCCAACAAGTTTCTTAGCTTAAATATTTACTTATTGACCACACTAATGTTACTGTCTATATTATTTGCATTTCTATCTATCAGACA